TTTTCCTGTGTTGATAGATGACTCCTACCTGCCTTTGATGGTGTGTGTGTGTGTGTGTGTGTGTGTGTGTGTGTGTGTGTTATCCTGGTTTCCTCTCTCTGGCTTTGAAGTCTTTTCTACAGGAAGCCTCACACTGTTTACTCTGCTGAAACATTCCTTCCTGAAACACCCCCCGCCACCACCCAAACACACACACACACACACACACACACACACTCTTTCTGTTTCAGTGTGTGAGCAGCTACCGGCCCGCAGTGACCTTTCAAAGTAAAAGCAGCTTAAAGATTAAACTAAAGAATGAAAGACTGGAAATCTTTATTCCCCATATTCACATTCACAGGCCTCGGGGAATATCACTGCGACTAACAATTATTATCATTATTGATTATTATTATTGATTAATCTGACTGGTGGGTGTCTCCAGGTCCGTGCTGCTCCTCCGCCCCCGAAGCAGCATCCTCGTGGGCAGGTGAAGCGGAGAGAGGAGGTGGAGATCACGCTGGTGTGAACGGCGGCGGCGGTTCGGTTCAAACCGGCTGGGACTCGGCGGCTTTTTGTGCCTCTAAACGAACTCCCCAAAGGAAACCCGAGGAAACTTTAAACCCCCCGAAGACGCCTGGAGGACGAAGAGGCTCTAAACTTTGTCCTCGGAGGGTCAGTGTGCTGTGGAGGAATATCGTGCCTTTCAAATAACTCCTTTAATTTCCTCTCCGCTGTTCCATTTCTCTCCCGTTTGACCGATTAAATAGGGCAGATATTGTAATTATTGTAATCTATTATTGATAACTGACAGAATATCTGCTATTAGTATCTTCAGTTTCCACAATGTTCACGTCTGTCGCTCATAGTAACGGATATAGTGATAACAGATAATTAACAGAGAAGTTCTTATTTATTTGTGGAAATCCACAATTAAATAAGTTTAATGTTCCTTTGATTTTTAAACACAACCGACAAACACAACCAGCGTTCAACCTCATAAACTTTTCAGCTACTCAACAACAAAATAATACTTTAAAATAAATAATATATGAATATAAAGATAATTATTCCACGTTAAAGTGAGAACGGTTATTTCCAACGTTTGTCCAAAATGGACGATTCTATCGTAGCTTATTAGCTATTAAACTTCCTCTGTCGGAGTAAAAACACAAGTTATATTGATAAGGGATGCACAATTTGGATGTTTTGTTTCAGTTAATCAATAATTATCTGCTTCTAGTGGCCGATACGATTAGATTATAGATGTTTGTATTTTAAAAAGAAGTTTAGTTTCTGTTTCTGTTCAAACTACGTTACGATTGAACAAAAACTATTTAATTTGTTCAATAATTCAAAATAAATCATTAATCGGCTGTAAATTTAATTATGGGACTAAATAATAAACACATAATTAATAATAAAATAAATAAATTTACCGTAATCAGACGATCCTTATCCGAGATAATTATCGTGCATCTCTAACATTAATCTCACCAAACTGCTTAAATTGATTAGACGGAGATCAATACCTCGTAATCATGAGATATAAAGTCATAATAATAATAATTATTAATATGTTAAAGCAGCAACAAGGAACCTTTAAAGTCGTGTCGACTCTGGCGGCCCCCTGTGGACAGTAACGGTAGTGTTTCAACTGCCTGGTTTCATTGATTTCAAGGGGGAATCGGACCCAGAATAACTGCGTAGAAACACTTCGGTCGTAAGTGTTCGTCTTCAGTATTAAACGGTTTGAGTAACAAACTCCTCGAAGAAGAATCAATAACTTTCTGTCTCGCTGAATCTTCTTACTGCGGCTCCTCTCGAGCTGTCCCGTCACTTCTATGCAACGGCGTTAAACAAAAGCGGGCGTGTTGTGAACGTGCAGCTTCCAACACAAACCAAAAGCCTGGTTGTCTCCACGCTCGATCAAAAACAAACAAACAAACAAACAAACAAACAAACCAACCAGCACGGACGAGGCTGGTCCTCTCCTCGAACACACGTAACTGTAACCGGTTACACTAACAAGGGAAAAGTGGCAATTTTTAGTTGAGTGATTGTTATGTCAAGTAGGGAGAATCTCCTAGATCAATAAACTTTTACCTTTTTTATTAGTATGTTTTATTTTGAAAACCCCCTGCTTCTTACGTTTTAGTTTTCTTTTGCACCGAAATAAATTCCTGAAGGGAGAAACGAAGCGCGCGCATTTTAATAGTCTAACAAGTTGTTGTTGTTGTTGTTGTTGTGACAGAAAATAAAAGATCTAGAGACGAGAGAGAGAGAGAGAGAGAGAGAGAGAGAGAGCTGTCGGGAGAGTTTACACTGAGGTAATGTGCAGTTTAAACAAGCCTTTTATTTTGAAAGGAGGAAACCATCCTGAGCTGCTAGCTGTCCGATTTAAAAAAAAAAATACAAATAAATACGAATAAAATGTAAAAAAAAATCTATACTGTCATAGTGAAGCACTTTTTGATGTCTTCTTATTCTTTTTCAGTATTGTGGTTGTTTGTTCAATATTTCCTGTTTGACGTTTTTTTTGTTTACGAGCTATAATATCGGATCTTTTATCGGCTCTCTGCGTTATTTAGCCTTAAATAGCCGTTGTAGTGTCTTTGATTGAGATTGACCTTTTTACGATCGTATTGTTTCTGAAATAGTTTACAGAGAGCTTGGAGATGGATATCTGTACAAACAATAGCACAGCTTGTTTTTGTTTTTGTTTTCTTTTTAGATTTAGGATTTAAAAAATAAAAGCCTGTTTAAAAAACCTTTAGCTCAATTCGATCGGAGGAGAAGAGATATCTGTCAGCCAACGTCGCTGTGTTCTCGTTGATCTCCTTGAGATCTGAATGACATCAAACTTATTTTTGAAGTTTGCCTTTTTACCCTGTTGTATTCAGAAGAACTCTTTCCCCGATATTTAGAGAGAGAAAGTTGTTGTTCACTTGCTACTGGTCCTGATTTCACGTCTGAATCTGAACATCAGCGACAAACTGCCCACGTTTCACAATGTACGCTCTGCAGAGGCTGCCGAGCGTCGTATTTACACACCAGTGGATGTTTAACTGTATTTATTGTGTACAAATAAATGTGAAATAAAGATAGCTTAAAATAAAAAAATAAAACAAAGAAAGACTCAGTTTTTTTTTTTATTGCTTTCAGTTTGAACTTTCCTTTTTCCGGGCAGAGCGTCTTCTCGTTGTCTGTATTAATACTGACTGACTGAGTTTCAGCTTTATGAGGACTAAATTTTAGTTGACACGGAGCCGCTGCGGGTCATTTTTAATGAAAAAGTTACAGAGAAAAGAAGAAAAGATATCTTACTTTAACAATCTGATAAAAGTAATTGGATACTGACAATAATTACCTGTTAAAACAATGTAAACGTAACTTAATTACTTTAGATTACCTCAACAGTAGTAATAATAACTAAGTGTTGATGTAAGTGTATCTATAGGACAACACAACAATATTAAACTTTAAAAATCAAATTTAAATCAAGATTTTAGCATCAAAAATGTTATTTTAAAGAAAAAACTGATTATAATCCTGCTAATAAACCTAATTTTTACTAAATATAACTAATCTAAATACGTATTTCTAACGGATTACAGCTACCTTTAATTGTATCCTGATTACACGCACTCAGTTACATGTAATCTATTACTCCC